AAAAGTTTCCACCTCGCGGCATATAACTTCCCGTAGAGGGAGCTCTGGATTGAAGGATGGTCTTCAACAACCTCAGTCGAGAGACCAGAAGCTATGAGCTGGGCCCCCTCAGAGGTCAAGCCCACAGTCTCCATAGTTATGGGCGGGGGTGAAGGATCAACCCACTCGCCTGAGAGAGTAGGTCTCTCCTGATCGGTATCTCCAGAGGAGAGCCGTCGAGGAGAGACATTAGGTCCGCAAACCACACTCGAGCCAGCCAGAACGGGGCAATTAGCAGAAGACTGAGCCCGTCCCGGCGAACCCTCTCCAGAACTCCCGGGAGCAGAGCGATCGGGGGAAATGCGTACAGACGTGACCTCGGCCATGGATGTACCATCACATCCAACCCCATCGGGGCTGGATGGCTAAGAGAAAACCACAGCACAGTGTGATGTGTCTTGAGAAGCAAATAGGTCTACCTCTGCATGACCGAAATGTTTCCAAAGAAGTTCCACCACCTCGGGGTGAAGACTCCATTCCCCGGGCCTCGGCCCCTGTCCCGGGAGATAAAAAGCTCTCAGAGAAATAATTTTTTCTCCTGGGACCATAGAAGGATCTGACGTGCCAGTTTGTAAACGAGAATGCAGACCCCCCTGATGGTTGATAAGAGACCACCGATGTGTTGTCTGTCCGGTCAAGAACATGGTCGCCCCTTAGGTCTGGGAGGAAGTGTTTCAGAGCCTGAAACACCGCCAACATCTCTAGGCAATTTATGTGCCACAGACGATGTTGGTCCTCCCACAGACCCTGAGCCGGGCGACCATCCATGATTGCCCCCCAACCCGTGAGAGACGCATCTGTCGTTAGCATGACGCGACGACAAGGATCTCCTAACTCAGGACCTTTTGACAGAAACAAAGGATCTTTCCTCATGATCAGGGCGCGATAACACCGTCGCGAACTCACGATCATGCGAAGCGGATTTCCCCTCGGGGAGAATCCCTTGGTTCTGAGCCAACACTATAACGGTTGCATGTGCAAGAGGCCAAAATGTATCACGTTGGACGCAGCTTCCATGAGAACTAACAGTCCCTGGAACTGTTTTACAGTGGATGCCTGGCCTAGCTTGACCTGATCTACTGTGGCAAGAATCGAAGCAATACGAGCAGGTGACAATCATGCCTGCATCGTCATCGAATCCCACATTACACCTAAAAAAAAAACGGATCTCTGTAATGGAGAAAGAACACTCTTCTTGGCGTTGAGCCTCAGCCCCAGTCTCTTGATGTGAGCAAGAACGACACCTTGATGCCGAACAAGCCTGTTGTTCCGATTGAGCTAGAATTAACCAATCGTCTATATAATTCAGAATACGGATGCCCTGCAGCTTTACCGGGGCTATAGCAGCATCCATACACTTTGTGAATGTTCGGGGTGACAGTGCTAGGCCGAACGGAAGAACCCGATATTGGTACGCTTCGCCCCCGAAAGCGAACCTCCGGAACTTCCTGTGTTGAGGGAGGATAGATACATGGAAGTAATCGTCCTTTAGATCTATCCTGACAAACCAGTCCTCGAATCTGATTTGTGACACGATCTGCTTGAGAGTGAGCATCTTGAATTTGTACTCCCCTACAGCGCGATTTAAGAGACGCAGATCTAGAATGGGACGCCGCCCCCCATCTTTCTTTAGTGTCCTAACTCCCTGCTGGGTGGAGGAACCCGCTCTATAGCTCCTTTCAGCAGGAGAGTTTTTACCTCCTGTTCTAATACCATAGCCTGCTCGGGGACAACCACTATGGGCAGAACCCCTCTGAACCGAGGTCCCACTGAGAAGCATTGGGGAGAATTTTTCATTCCGCCAGAAACTCTACTAAGGGAACCAGCCTCTCGAGGCTAGCCTCTGGATGAACATCCTGAGTGACAGACACAGCACCGTGTAACACACTGGCAGGGAACAGCTGGTCTGGGCACTCCACAACCCTCTTTGGAGGGGGCGAGCGTCCTCAGGAAATCGCTCGCCGAGTCTCTCTACGCCCTGGAAAGGCAGGGTTAGTACAGCAGACCCCTGAGGGCATCGGGAAAGATAGGGCACCGTGTTTTTGTGCAGTGAACTCAAGTCTTTCCCTCAGAGTCATGACGTTCAGCACGTCAGGATTTTTTTTCTCGACGCGGCCTCCTTGGCGATAATGACTGTCCTCAGATCAGCCCTACCACGAGAAGGCCGCGCCAGAGAGCGCCCCACCTCGTCCCTCCCGTTTCTCTGCGGGGGGGGGGGGGGGGGGGGGGGCACGAGACGCGACACTTCATTTCTGCTGCACTCTTTTTGAGGTACTTGGCGACTGGGACTGCCCTCGCTCCACAGCCCCAGCGACATGCACTTTAAGGGGCAAAAATTCTGAATGCAGTTCTAGCTCATTAATCATTTCAACATAAATTTCCCCCCTCTCACCGCATCTTTCAGCAGGTCAGCCTGAAAAGCTTGCATAATGGCCATAGTGTGTATACATGCAGCCGCCTGACCCGCCGTCGAGTAAGCCTTCCCCACTAACACAGAAGTATATATATATATATATATATATATGAAGAGTTCAGATGCAAAAGCCTCTAAGTGCCATTTGAAATTTTCTTCTAAAATGATCATTTTTATCAAGCTTGTATATTTAAGTTCAGTAGTTTCACTTAAATGGCAATGAAGATTACCTATTAATTGTCATTTAAGTGAAATTACTGAACTTAAATATACAAGCTTGATAAAAATGGTCATTTTAGAAGAAAATTTCAAATGGCATTTAGAGGCTTTTGCATCTGAACTCTTCATATATTCTTTTTCTTTTTTTAGTGGTTTAGAGGACAGAGCCGGTGCTTTAAGTGAAGATGATGAAACTGGAGAAAGTCCTCCTCCACCTTCGGCATCGTCACATAACCAGCAGATTTAGCACCAACAATGTAAGCATTGGACTGATTTGTGTAAATTCTGCTTGAAACGGGTTTAACCCAGGTCTTTGAAACCTCTTGCATGAAGATCTGGGAAGAACAGTAAGCACCGGCGAGAAGGTTGAGGTCGTGCAGACAGAAATCTATGATATAGTTTAATTTTACTATTAGACTCCTGTCTATCAGCTGGCCACTCGATACTGAGCTTTTCAACAGCCTGAGAAAACACATCCATAAAACCTTCTTCATTTGCAGTATACTGTGACAAACTAGTTTCCTCTGATGCAAAACTTTCGACATCCAGCTCCTCAGAACTGGATAATCTCAATTCAACATCATCACGTGCCTCTACACGGGCAGAAGTAACCGGAGAAAGCCGAGATAGGGCGGGGCCCGTTCTCAACATCGCCGGTGAGATCCAACTGCGAACCCCAAGACAAGCGCCGCCGCTCTGCCTCAACAGAAGCGGGACCCGAGCCTTGGGGAGCTCGCAGCATACCGCTATCCTAGAAGAGCGATCGCCACGAGGGCAGAGTTCGCAGAGGAAAGCGTTCACAATGATCACAATCGACTACCTCGAGAGCCAACTGGGCATGCTGCACTCCCAAACAAGCCACATATAGCTATACTGCTCGCTCATATTGTTTTTTTAATATATATGTCTCTATAGTGAGAAACTCATGTCTAAAACAGACAAACACAATCGATAGATTTCAGACACACATACAGAGCTTGCTGAAGTAAAAAAAGCTGGCGGCTTGGGTGCTCAGGGGATATTTATAGCTTCCTAGTCGATGACGTCACTCACCGTACGCTCATTCTCTCCATTGACTGATTTCATTCATGCTTCAGACGCATCACGCTGAGGGCGTTCCCACTGCGATTACACGCAGCGGTAGTCCCTGAAGGGGAACTAGTAGTTTACTAATATACTGTTAGTACATTGATATTAGTATACTTACTGTATTTATACTTGTAAGCATACTTTAAAACACACTCGAAATTTATAGGGGTTGGACAATGAAACTGAAACACCTGGTTTTACAACACAATAATTTGTTAGTATGGTGAGGGCCTCATTTTGCATCCAAATACAGCACCAATTCATCTTGGGAATGACAGATAGAAGTCCTTCACAGTGACCAGAGAGATTATGAGCCGTTCCTCTTCCAGAACAGTGTCCAGGTCACTATATGATGCTGGTGGACTCTCTCCTCCAAAACACCTCAATAATATTTAGATCTGGTGACTGTGCATGTTCAATGTCATATTCATCTTCATCAAACCCTTCTGTCACAAGTCTTGCTGTGTGTGTTGGTGCATGATCATGCTGATACACGGTTTGAGCATCAGGTGCTCATGATCCTCCAGAAGGGCTTGGTAGTCCTCGGCAGTGTCGTGTCCATCAAATACAATCAGGATTGTCATGATATTGGAGCTCAAACCATCACTGATCCACCCGTGCTTCACTCTGAAGATTGGCCGCTAGGCGTATAGATGTGAAACCTCCAACATAGGCCAGTGTTTCAGTTTCATTGTCCAACCCCTGTACTTAAGTATAATTAGTAAAATGAACTTCACTGTAAAAAAAGATACACCAAATCTACTCAATAAAAATGAGGCAACAGATTACAAGCAATATTATTAATTAAATTTCACAAGGTTTGGTATTGAGTAAATATTAATTAAACAAGTCTCTTAAAAGTTATCCATTTAAAATGAGTAGATTCGAATAGAAAACAGAACAGAATTAATTATAATCTAAACAAAAATGTTGAGTTAATTTGAGTTAATCAATGCAATTAATTAAATCTAAATATTCCTTTCCTAGAAATAATGGCCCAGAAAGCACAGAACTTAACAAATGAGAATTTTATTAACAATTCACTTTTGTGCTTTCAACGCATTGTAGCACATCATTGTACACTGCATTCACAGTCTCATTTCAAGACAACAGTAGAATCTTGCATTTCAAACCAGACATTTAAAAAGGACATAATACTGACTTCAAACTATTTAGTAAAAACAAAAATAAATGCCATACACGTGACCATAAACCTGTTTCCATGCTTTTTCACCTCACATAGCCACTAAATTGGGTCAATAAAGATCTTAAAATAAAAATACTCCATAAATACTCCATAAATCCTTAAAGGTCCCGTTCTCCATGTTTTTTTTAAGCTTTGATTGTGTTCATGTTTCGCGTGTAAAAAACACTGTATTTTTCACACAATTTACTTATCTGTATACTGCTGTTTTCACTGTCCAAAAAATGGCCCGATTGACTTACTTGTTCTATGAAGTTTATCATTTTACATGTATTATTTATGCTCTAACAGCAACATTACACACTAACTAAAGTTTAAAAAATGGAATCGAGAAGAATGGGACCTTTAAAGTGCAATTTGTACAGAGTAAAATACATTTGTACTTTGAACTTACAACAATTGAAATGTCATGACATTCGTGGGAAAAATCAGTACTAACTTACAAACATCAATGTGCAATTCTCAAGTAAGACATAGCACAAAAGTCTGCACTGCAATACAGTCTCATTTCAAGCCTGAAGTTTGCTCTAGAGGGATTGGACTTTGTTGATCCAGTTCCAAGAAACGTTTTTGGAATACCTCAAAGGTGTACAAAGGTGATAATCGAGATTCAGCGCGTAGGTCAAGCCAAGGAGGACAGAGCAAGGCCGCTGCAATATTTCCAAGTCCTGTGATGACGATTCCAATGTTCTTTGGGTAGTTGCTTGTAGAAGCTTCAGGTTTTGGGGTCAGAGTAATGGCCATTATGAACTGTTCCTTCAAGTTCTCAGTGTCCTGCAACATAAAATTGTAGTGTCTTAGTATAAAACTGTCAGAAGTATATTGCAAGCATATAGCAGTATAGACAATACATTCATTATGGTTTTCATAGCTTATAAATCTATTTTATTACATTTTATTTTCTCACAGGCCTTGGTCTCAAATTGTTTTCTTCTCTATTTTGATGTTTTTTTCTTTATTTTTTTATGTTTGTTGTAGTCTACAAATGTTCTTCCATTGTAATGAGGGATTTATGGTGTTCCACTAGCTACTATTATATCCCTCTCTATGTAGGCTAGTATCCATAGACATAATATATACATAGACGCCCTATTGGCCGCTTTGGAAAGTTGCTGCGGAATAAACACACACAAAAAATATATTTAATATTTAGCTCTTAGTGCTAAATTTCAGTTTTATTGATCAGTAATAGGCTAGCCATTATAACAGAAGTAGCTTCAGTCAAACATACTGTTAAAATAGCCTAAATATAAAGTTATGAAACTTTACTTTGCCTTCAGCCAAAACTATTTACCAGGGAACCATTAATAGATTAATGAGACCAAAGATAAACACAAATTATACTAATTATATCTCATGTTTAACCTCTTGACTAGAGACATCCGAGCCAGCGGCAACCGTCAGAAGCACTGGCCGTGGTACGGCTGTTCCAGGCGGGGGAGACGAGCGCTGGGCGGGGGCGCAGCAACTCCGAAAACTTCAGATACAATTTTTAAATAGGCTCTATCTTTATAAACAAACCACATATTTGAGCTTTAAACAACTACATTGTCGACTGAAAAACTATTAAAACTACATTGCGTGACACAATAAGGAGTTTTCTTTTTAAATCAATCAAAGTTCCCAAAAGCGTTGCCATATGGAGTTTAACCAGACGGAACGGACTATTTTATTTAGCGGAAGCAATACAATCGTTTTTAAATCAATAAACTCCTTTTTAAATCAGTAAATCGTGTCAATTTATTTATTTATTTGGTAAGTAGCCATGTAATAAGCAGGAAAATATAGAGCAAGGTGGTTGTTAGCGAATACGACCCCTTCTTCATCTCCGCTTCGCATCGCGGTCATAAATCAGCCTGTCAGGTTTTCTATTTGCCATAACAACGCCTCGCTCGACATTATCCCTTACATATAACCACTACATGCGTTCTTTACTAGTCCAGTGAAAACAAAATAAGTTTTCTTACCTTAGTCAACCAGCTGCAAGATGAGCAAGTGGAAGACGACGAACATTCACCGTCTGTGGGCAGCTTAACGTATCTCTTCCGCCGTCTGGTGCACTTTGACAGGAAGTGCTTTTGCCTGATTACATTAATTTGAATTCACTCAATATTCTCTCCATTTGGAATTAAATTAATAAAAAAGCTTAAGTTTTAATTAACAACAATGGGTGGTTTTTATTCCAAACATTTTTATTTGAAATTTAATTAAATATTTGCCTCAAAATCAAAAACACAATTATATTGAATACATTTTAACCAAAAACATTAATTCAAATCTACATCACCACAGAATCATTTCTTACAGTGTTGTATGACAGGGAATTGATGGCAAAATTGACATTTTTGGCTGAACCGTCCCTTTAAGATATAACTTGAAGAGTTTGTTGCAACCGGCTGTTAGTAAGGTCAACAGTGTTCGACATGCAACATTTATTTTACAGGCATTGGCTCCATTTGTCAGAAACTACTGCTTCTCTTCTCTTGTAGCTTGTGATTATTTAAGAAGCTCATCCTGTGGTGACACATGACTTCAGGCAGATATACAAGCTGTGAACTCTTACAGTGCCTGTGCAAGCCTGAGGAAATCCTGATGTAGCTTTGGGGTTTTATATAGACCAGGCTTCAGTTAAAAGCTACCAAAAACTTTTTGATGCTACTGTGATTACCAAACCACAAGGAAGCAGTGACCATGATCATTTGATGATTTGATGTCATTGTTTAAATCATTACTTATTGAGTCATTGACATCAATGATGAGAGATTGCTCTTAAAGTAACCATGAGTTATGAGTTATATCGAGTTAATTTTGCTATGCACCCGCTCTGGCACTGAATTTTTTTTTTTTTCTTAATACAATACATCAAAGTCAAATCCCTAGTACTTTATTTATTTTTCTTCTGTCAAAGATAGTCAAATTGATGATGGAAGCCTGGTGTCCAAAATAACTCATGGTTGTAGCTCTAAGCTGTTCTTATTTGTGAGTGAACCTCACAGCACACGTCATTTAGATAAGGAGGCAACCTTGTGAGGAGGTTGATGCATGCAAGTTGACTACTACTGCCCCATGTAAGGTAGGTCGATAACCAGCAGTTACGTTGATAGTTGCCTCAACCATCTATAATGGCAAGTTCCTGACAGTGAAGCTATTTTTCATTGTGTAGCCATTGTTTTTTGCTTATCAGAAGAAAGTACAGCCTGTTAGTCTGTTAGCCTGTTAGTCTGCCGGAGACTTCGAGACGGATTTCCTGTGGAGTGCTGATGTCCAGATGGAGTCTTTTCAGCTTGTTCGCATGGCTTGCTTGTAGATATCACTGCTGTTTCTGGGATAGATCAGTTGCTATGGTCTGAATCCTAGTTTTAGTAGCTTCTCCTTAGTAGCTCATGCACACAAGCAAACACCCCCACACATAGATGCACAAGCAGCACATAAGTGTGGGCACACACCGAACCTTAAAAAAAAAACAAAAAAAAAAACTCTCAAGTACACCCCAAAAAAATCTTTTAAAATATGCAGTGTTTGAAATTGCGCCTGAGCTGGCGCCATTAATAATGCATTGAGCTTAAAACCGTCATGGAGTTCAGAAAAATCTAAATTCACTCATCCTCGATGACAGTGTTTTTTACCTGTGAGTCACTCTCACAGACACACACTCTTTCTGAGCATGTTTTATGCATCTGGGTATTATCATCCCCCACTTGACTCTAATGTTTGCTAATTTCTGTTGCACGCAAAAGCACAGATGAGATATCTAGAGGAAGAAAGTTCATCATGTGGATTCAGACATATTGGTTGTGGGCTGAAGTTGTGTTGGGAAGTTGTTTATTCTTTCTTACCATGATGAATACATTGCCACCAGGTGAGAGGTCAGTAATGTCAAAGTTGCCCTCTTGCGTAATTGAAACCCACTGAGTGGCCTGTATTTTAAAAGTGAATGCAGAAGTAGCCCAGCATCACTTGTTGCCCAGAAACCTTCTTGCTGAAAGCTTGTTTTGTTCCTAAATGTTTGAATGTCAAAAGGTGGCTTGCAACTCCATTTTATTTTAGGTGGTTAATTAGTGAATGCTTATCATAGCCACATGCCATGCCTCAGCAGGGACACAGCACCCTAGAGTTGTAAAATTAATTATTTCGGTAATGTGGGCCTTGCGCTTGAGAAACGGCACAACTAAGCCCAATAGCTCATTAATCTTCTGACGGCCTCTCCTGAGTTTGCATTGAAGTGGTGTTGAATTTCAATACATATTTTCTCTTTTCGCCTAACCTTTACAAACAGGCTTTTTTAAACAGGATGGTTTAACGGCAAGGGGTTTTTACACCTGCAGGGCAACTACAGTACATTTACATTGGACAAAGAAAGGTATTAAACACACACATTGTGCACATGACACAACAGCATGCCCATGGTCATAAAAACAACAGGACTGTTTTCATGCTAAGACCAGTGTTGGGTAAGTTACTTCAAATAAGTAATTATTTACAAATTACGGTAACACTTTACAATACGGGTGCACTGATATACATTAATTCATGCTTAACTAATGCACTGATAATCACGAGTTAATGTATAACTAATGAAGAACTAAACCATTAATTAATGATTACTGCATCGGCAACTAATAAAGAGTCTATATGATTAATAGATTAAGTATTACATGAATTGCTATTAATTCAATGTGTCATTGTGTATTAATTCCTTAAAAAACATATTTTATTAACTAATAGTGTAAAATAATCTGTTAATTACCACAATTAGTCAAAGCTATGCACTTCAACTTCCAGTTGTCTGCTTTAATTAATCATTAGCTAATGATTTGCAAAGGTATCATTATGTTATGACTTTACTTGTTGTGGCACATCATTATTAAAGTCCCTGTGAAATCAAAATTGAACCTATTTACTTTGTTAGCGCATATTACTAGTCTTGTGGTCAATTAATCCGTGCAAGTAAAAATATATTAAAAAAATGTTTTACCTTGGTAATCTTTAATCAAAATCTGAAAAGTTACTTCCGGTCTGGAACGGTTTCTTTTTCTGATGACGTAGGTTTCACAGTTTGGGTGGGGAAACGCTTAACCACTCCCCTCAAACCGTTAGTTTGCTATGAGCGAGAGATAGAGAGGAGGAGCGCTAGAGTAAAACTCTGCCCTCTGTTCAATATTCCGTTTCACTTGGAAATACGTCACAGCACTGGAGAAAAATCGTTTGCAACTTCCGGTTCACGGGGACTTTAACTAGTCATTTAGTAATTGTAGTAATTTTCTCATGAATTTGCAGTAACAATGAAGTAATTAATCTGTATTAATGCATATTAGTGTACCTGTCATATTATCTGGAAGTTGAAAAACAAGGCTTTGGCTCATTCTGGTAATTAACATATTAATTAACACTATTAGTTAAAAAATGAGTTATTATGGAATTAATCCACAATTACATATTTAATTAATAACAATTCATGTACGAACTAATACATTAAACCTACAGACTCTTATGTGGTAATCATTAATGAATAGCTTAAATAATCATTAGTTACACATTAATTCAGTATTATTTGTGCATTAGTTAAGCATGAATGCTTATTAATGCACCCGTATTGTAAAGTGTTACCCAAATTACTAATTACATCATCAATATTGTATTTAAAATAATTTTCTAATTACTCTGTCTGAAAAGTAACTTAATTACTCAAAAAAAAAATACTTCTTAAAATCCCTAAACCTTTACCGGATAGAAAATAGAAATTAAACTCTTTTATTAATTAAATATGAGTCAAACATGGAATCGTTAATACTTTTTAAGCATTTTAGCTTTATTATGACCTCATAACTTAAACATTTTAGCAAAAAATGTAACCTTTAGTTTAACAGAATTCATATCTGAATAACAACGTTTTTTTAATTATTCTAATACATATAAGAATAAGAAAAAATTACTCTGAGAAATACTCTGCAGAAATCAAGCTGTAAATTTTAAGTTTTTCAAAGCAGTGAGCAACATATTTCATAACATTTTAGTAACAAATCAATGTAACCATTTATCACAATTCCTCTGCTACATATCTGAATAACAACAACAACAACAATTCTAATACATATTAATAACAAAAAACAATGGCTCGTCCAAATGTCGGCAGTCGTGGAAATGTATTCCAAGCTCTCGAATGTCATTTTAAGCTCAATTTCCATGTGAGTGTAACACTTATCTAAGTAAGATGAAAACGTTTTACGATCGGGCAGGGCTGCTTTTTGGCACACAGGTATTTTGTTTAGTATGTGCCTAAAAGACGGAGACTCTACATGCAGAGGTAGCATGTCTTCAACTACGTAGACTGCAATCATTTTTTTAATCTCACCTTCAGACACTTTCTGCACCAGCGGTGTAAAATCTAGTTTTAGGGGTTGCCGTAACGTTATCTTTCGAGGAACATATGAATCACTCAAAAGTGTTTGTCGATGCTGCCTTGTTTGGTGCTTCAGTAGATTACTAGTGCTATTGACAGCGGCCGATAGGATATAGCTTACATTGCAACGTAATGTTCTTGTCTACCTGTGTCAAAAAAGTGAAGTAATTGGAATATATTTACATTTGGTAAAACTCGCTTCTGCCGACATTTTCCACTTCCACTTTCATCAACCAACTGGCGCGAACTCGTCGTCACACGCAACTGCACTACAGCTAACGATTTTAAAGAGGCAGTGTTCACCTTTACCTTTAGGCGATAAATGCAGATTTTAAATTCAATATTGATTTATGCAGAACTGTTGAAATAATTTACACTATGTAACGCAAGTACATTATAAGTAACTGTAATTAAATTACCTAAAAATGAATAGTAATCCATTACTTTACCTTTTTAGTGGATAAGTATTTTAATTACAGTAAAGACCCTTTTACACCGGAAGCGTAACGGAAAAGCGAAACGAAAAAGCGAATAGTTCGTGTGAGAAAAGTTCGCGTCAAAACCATTCACATGAGCCGCGACGCGAATTTGCGGCGTTCAGAGCTTCAACATTCCAAAACATTC